AGCGCAGCACTTGTGCATTTTTAATAACAAGAGGGTCAACAAGGACACAGCTCCCTCAGTGCCCATAGTTGCCACACCAGGGCTATAAACGCTCTCAGTTCATCAGATTTCTTAAACAGTTCATCAGCTTTCTTAAACACCCTAAACCCCCTCAGCGGACCTTTAGTCTTAAATTAACAAACCAAAGCAATGAAAGAAGGTGCAGCTTGAATGGCCAGCATTGATCCCCAACGGGGCTCGGCGCAGCTACAGGCACTGAAAAACTCGCTCCATTGTTGGGAGGAATTGACAAACCTCCTCGCCTAAATAGTCCAGCTAAGGCGGGCTGGAGGCACGCAGCTATAAAGGGCTCCCCTCGCCCCGCTCCCAGCGCTCACAATGCGCCAGGCATGAGCTCTTTGTCAGGCCCAGACTCTGCAATTTTCTAACAAGGATTAAAGTTGTTTCTCGGCAGGGCCAGTGAAAAGCGATTTAGCAACATACCGTGCTTTCTTCAGGCAAGTTAAAGAGAAGTAGTTAAGGAATTTCATTATTCTGTTGACTGGTGGAAATACAAAACAAATATATTAAATATTCACCATCTTTCTGGGTGCCTGAGCTATAACATTTGCAGAACGGTTCAATTAAATATAACACTTACTGGCTGAAAGCAAGCACTTCAGATTTATTTTTGAAGTTTTATAAAAAGGTGCAGCTGTTTGCCACCTGGAAGGAGGCTCAATACATACTAATACACAATGCTTTAGACCTTCTAGGGCTGGTATCCCTAACGCCTGAAACACAAGACCCCGTCGAGTTTCTATATGTTGCCTGCTCTTGATAAATGGGCACTGTCAAAATGCTTTTTCTGCTGAATATGGCAAGCTTTTCTAGGAACCATGTTTTATCTGCCTACAGAAGCCTTTATTGCATTATTGATCAGGAATTGAGTCTCAGACAACAATGGGAAGTTTTTGCTTTCTCCAGCTCTACTTTTCCTACCAGGAAAAATAACAAAAATTTTCCTCACTGAGGAGATTGTACATCAAAGGCAGCATAAGCTAAAATGCCTAAGAAATACTATAAGCATGTTAAATATTAAGAGCTAAAATGCCTAGTTTTTATTATTGTTTCAAGAGTTTGACAGCAAGCACTAGTAGTGTGCCAAGGAAGTTTGAGACCATTTAAAAAACATGCTAAATGATGAAAGAATCAATAAGTTATTCCTTAAAAATGCAAACACCAGAAGTTAGAAAAAAAAAATCCTGATTTAAGTTTTATAATTTATTTCCCTCTTTGTAAAATATGAATAATGCTGCTGACTTCCTTTGTTGAATGTTATTGATAATGAGGGAAACAAGTGTTTTTTGTAGCATCTTTGAAATCATTCTGAGGTTTACAAGTTATAGCTGTATTTTGTGTATTATTTTAGGTATAGACATCACCCTCTTAAAGGAGGATTTTTACCTGAGCAGTGATGAGTTCATACAGTCTTCTGAAGGCTGGGAAGCCTTGGTTACTCTTAAAAAAACACAAACAAACCTTGGGAAGGATTTCTCAGTCTGTGGGTCACC